AATCAAGAAATCTAATAACAACAGATGCTGGAGGGGATGTGGACAGAAGGGAACCCTACTGCATTTTTTGGTGGGAATGTAAATTTATTCAACCACTTTGGAAAGCAGTATGGAGGTTCCTCAAAATACTCCACATAGAGCTCCCCTATGACCCAGGAATCCCACTTTTAGGCATTTACCCAAATTATCACAAACAAGGCCATACTAAAGCTACCAGAACAACTATGTTTATTGTATCATTATTCACCATAGGTAAACTATGGAACCAACCCACATGCCCCTCAGTAGATGAATGGATAAAGAAATAGGAATTCTATGCCTCCATCAAAAAATGGCATCACCACATTTATTAGGAAATGGAAAACCTGAAAAAATTATATTAAGTTGTATAAGTCAGACCCAAAGAATCATAGGTTATATGGGTTTCCTTTATCTGCAATAACCAGTATATTCCTAAGATAAGCAGAAGAGGTCAAAAGCTCTGTACGTATGACCATATAAGCTGATGTTAAGTGAAATGAATCCCAAGAAAGGGACACAATTTTTATATTGCTTTCTGTCCTTTTTAATGTGCTTATAATGTACTATGTGATTTTTTTATTTCTTTGTATGTTCTTCCCCCTTAGTATTTGATTCCGGTGTTCTGCAAAATGATTTTTTTTAATTTTAATTATACCTTTGTTGTCTTTAAGTAGTTGTCCAAAGTGGTTACCGTTCAACCAATCAGTTTGTAAGTACGAGTACAGTTGTAAGTATGACACCCTTTCATCATTCTCCCCCATCCCTCCTAGGCCTCCCCTCAATACTCTTCTCTGAAACCTCACTCCATGTGTGAGTGACAGAGACACAAGAGAGGCCTTGAGCAAAGGGAAGGGAGGTGACCTGGCTGCACATTGAATACACTCTCAATCCACACACCAGAGTTTACTGGAAGAAGCAGGATGGACTTGTAGTGTAGGAAACCTGACCCATCAGTGGCATTTGTCATGCTATGTAGATAAAGGTAAGCCATTAGAGATTCCAACAATAAATTGGAAATGAAAAGTTTAAAAAGATCAATGACATCAGTAACCAATCTCCAAATGCTAAATAGACTTCAAAGTAGTTATTTTAAGGATTATAAATATTATGAATGTTTAAACATCATTGAAGCTTTTGATATTTAATCAAACACCTAAAAAAGAATAACTGAAGAAAATAGTGGAACAAATAAGGTCTCAATAGCAATATGAAAGAGACCAAATGGGAATCAGAGAATAGAAAACACAATGACCTCACATGTTTGAGTTCTTAGCTAACACATCCTAATCATCCAAAGAAACTACTTAGATTTCCATCAGTGCAAACACCATCTTCAATAATGAGTTCTCACATACTTAGGAATCCCTTTCATTGCTGCACCTCAGGACAACTAGTTCCCCCAATGACATCTCAAATGCTAACAGTCCCTCTGTCACCAAGAGATTTAAGATGCCACCGCTCCCTCTTGGGGGAAAGCTGAAATACCTTCAGTTCTTGAGCTCTCTTACATTTCCTCACAGTACCATGAGCACTTGTAGACACAAACCACTGATCTTACAGAACACTCATTTTAATGCAAAGGCAAGACAATGAACAAATACTTTTCATGCTGTCCTGTTTCCTGAGACTCCAGCCACCCCACCCCACCTGCTCCCCTTTCACCACTCTCTCTAGCAACACTATTACTCAAGGGAAGAGGGTAGTGGGCATCTTGGAACACATTTTGTCTCTTCACCTCTTAGCATGATTAGAATGAGAGGAAGAGGAAACAAGTCAAAATTGAACATCTGTGGTTCATTAGAAATATCCCGTGTGGTTTCACTGAAGCCCATTTAACAAACTCATCCTCTGAATAAGGATATTAATTTTTCATTCCATCATGTCCCTGCAACTGGAAATCAGCAAACACCCAAATGAGTAACATGAACCAGACCATGACTCTATTCAAAACAAACCTGTATCCACTTGTAACAGAGCCTCTGAGACCATTTTTAATATATATGTTAATGAAGAGAACCAATCTTCATTTTAAGTTGTTTGTTCACAGACAAAGGGAGAGAAAGTATGTTTGATCAATTATATCCCTCTATTTCCTAATGATACTTCCTTCAAAATGTAACTTACTTTTGTTCTTCAGTCTATAACTCATGGCCTTGGTCATAGATGAAAGAATGGACATTTATGTTTGCTCTTCCAATGTGTCTGCTATGCACTTCAGAGCTCTTACTACAAACAGCTATTATTGTTTGTAAGCAGTTTGTTTTTAAGGATGTTTAACTTAATCCCATTGCAGGATAGCTGATTGGTGTGTATGAGAATTCATTCCCTGGGCAGTGATTGTCTCCAGTATTTGTCCAAGTTGACCTTACCTGTATTGACCTCATGGAGAGAAACTGAGATCCTAGTGGTAGGAAGAAGCCTGTGTGTGGCAAGGAGTATACATGGTCCTACAATTTGTTAACAGCAAGGAAAAACCTTCTTCCAATTACAGAAGTAGGACACAGGAGGACAGAAGAGACAGGTAGGAAAAAATCATATCTTGCTATAACAAATGAACCCTGTATTAAGTTTTGTTTGAGCTTCCTCTCTTGAATTACTTTTTGTTTCTCCATTCTTCTGTAAACTGAAATCTCTGCCTACTGCCAGTAAAATATCACCAAATGATGAATGAGTTTTAATGGAAGAATATATGTTATTTTGCATCCTACTGTGTAAGAAAAAAAACACGATATAATCATGGTCTTATCATTCTTAGTGACTGCACAGCAGCCATGTTTCTGAATGTCTCTAAACTAGATTCATGCAATTTTCCTCCAGGTTATACTCAGTAGTGCATATATGTGAGCAAAGTCCAGAAGTGCCACTGTGTTCTTTTTATGGTGACTCTTCACAGACCCAAGGTTTGAATCATCATTACTGGTGATCTTCATTTCAATTCTAGACTATGTGATGGCTGCCAGATTTCTCTGCTGTATAACAATCTTTCCCTTTTGCAATTTATGAAACTGTGTGGAGAAGTTTTTGATCATTTTAGATTATCCCATTTCTTACAAAAATATCATGACAAATTCAATGATTTACAATTGATTTAATTGTGTATATGAGTGTTTATATGGTATTCAAAATCCCTTGAAATTGGCCAGTGGGCATCCGGTGCTAGCTGATTCTCTCTATTTTTTCCTTTACCTCACACACCAGGAATCTTTTTTGTTTTTGGCACAAAATGGTCCAAAATTATCTTAGACTTTCCTAGTTTTGATTAAATAAATCAATTATTTCCACAAGGGTCGGTTGTTTCATTTATTGGAGAAAGTTTACAGGTACATTAGTGATGGTGCCATCTATTCATGGAACTAGAGCATCATTATTTCTAGGATGTAAAAAATTATCCCTCCACGTATTCATTCATCTAGTCTTATACATACATACATATATGTGTGAATTTATGGTGATTTCTCCACCTGTATGCACAGAAATAGGTTATTCTTAAATGCATTCTTAGACAAAGTTTTCCTGTAGTTAGATTATAATTCTTTCCCTCAAGAGTCAGAGTGTCAGCTCCATTGATCCCTCATGAATTTAGCCACATGATCAACTTTTTTGGATGAGGAGAAACACCAGCTATCACTATCACTTACATGATCATAGCATACAACCCCCCTCATGTATTTGCTCATATATTACTCAGACTGGCATAACACTGATGAGATGAGTCAACTTTGCATCCCATGCAGTAGTGACTTGTGGGCCCTGACAACTGCACAGGCCCAAATGGATGTCCTCGTGTCTCATTCCACCTCAGCATCTTCAATGCAGCCTGCAATGCTCTTTCTCCCTGGCATAAACAATCAGCTCTCCTCACTCTTGCTTCTAAGCCCCATGTTGTCTCCTCTCAATATGAATGACATTTCCATGTACTGCTGGCTCCTGGATTCTGTTAAAAAATTCCAATATGATCTTCCTTTCTATGGTTCTACTCATTCTACTTGGGCCCAATGTCTTTAAACCAGCTGTTAAACAGTGTTCTCTTCATATACTAGAAGAGACCACCAAGTGAAAGGAACATATGTAGGTTTAGGCAACTCAGTAGGCTTCAGCATAACCCACATTTATATTTCATTTCAAGGAGAATCTCTGATTCAAAAACAGTAGCTTTAGTTAAGATGTTTAAAACTCAGAAGGATGATGAAGACCTCAATAATGGGCATTATAATTTATACACACTCCTAGGATGTTGGAAAAGATTGGTCAGGTTTGAA